GTCATCAGGGCAATGAATGTGCCAAATGGAATTTGGCACATTCATTGCCCTTAATGAGTATCATAATAACTTTTTTCCAGACAACATAAGTCTCATAATAATGAGTTTCTACTTTATTTCATAAATGTATAAAAAGTATTTTGGAAGTAAAAAAAGTCTCCTTTCCTTCTACAACTTTTATTTAAAACTTCACTACAATTAACAATCAATTATTTGGTCATCAATCTAACCAAATGGCAATATGTGAACCTAGAGACCACAAAGAACCAAAATCTATCAAATAGGTGGGAAATGAAATATAGACAGAGGACATCCACACTAACATTCACTAGGTAATTCTTAAAAATGGAAGGAAAAAAACTTGGTTGTCTTCATTCCTAACAGCAGAACAAAGAAAAATCACCTGGCTCCCCTGTTTGTAGTTTTGATGGGCTGCTTGTGGGAGGAGTTGAGTCCATAGCTGCAGCAGATGATGGTTGTTCCTGTTGCTGTTCTTCATAGTAAGCATCACAGCCATTTGAAGCCAGAACACTGGCCCCTTCACAAACATCTGGATAATTGCAATGTAGTGACAAAAAAATTTGTGGACACACATCCACAACGTTACACACGACACAACAGTATGTATTTACAAGGGGCAGTCAAAAAGTTCCCGGAATTGTGGTATAGCACTGTAATGGTAGGACATATGGCAACGCTTACCAAATCACCTTCAAAGTAGGACCCTTGCGGACACACACACTTGCTCCATCGATCCTGCCATTGTTGGAAGCACCGGCGGAAGGCTTCTTTTGGAATCTTCCGGAGTTCGGCCGTCGCATTTGATTTGATGTCCTCCATGGTTGTGAAACGCATTCCCTTGAGGCCCGATTTCAGAGTAGGGAACAGTCAGAAGTCACTCGGAGCGAGATCAAGAGCGTATGGTGGTTGGGTGATGACGGGAATGCTTTTCTCGGCGAGGAATTGCAGCACAACCAGCGATGTGTCGAATGCGGCAGCCGAACTTCGGAAGATTCCAAACGAAGCCTTCTGCCGGTGCTTCCAACAATGGCAGGATCGAAGGAGCAAGTTTGTGTGTGCGCGCGCGCAAGGGTCCTACTTTGAAGGTGATTAGGTAAGCGTTGCCATATGGCCAAACATTACAGTGCTATACCACAATTCCGGGAACTTTTTGACTGCCCTAAGTATATCAATCAAGTATCTTATTAGCTTCAAGCATACCTGTGGCCCTCTTAGCCTCCTCTTCCAGTAGACAGGTGAGATCAGGTGAAGACACAGAACTCAGGTCATCATGCAGAGCAAGACCCAGGTGATCAGTGTCTGGAGATGAACAGGTGTAGACTGAACTGAACAGAGACACATCTGCCACATCTGGCAACACAGGTGTCTGCCAATTCTCTTTGGTTTCTTCACTCAGTTTTGTCACCTGAAACACGAAGTTTGTTGAGCAGACTTCTTTACTACGATTTCAGTACAATTTCAAAAAACTAACACACTTTACACATTTACCACACTAGTTAATTAAAAATACCTGTTCTTAATATATAAAGGCCAAAACCTTTTCCAGTTGCATATGTAATGGGATAAGACTTGTGTGACAGAACTACACCCCACTTAATGGTACCTGCACCTTGTCGTGGTGGTGGGGCTTGAGTACCTCAGTGACCCCAAGAGCTATGCTGGCGGTAGCATAGCTACTGGTAGGGCCTCCCTAGCCAGATTGGTTGAGGGGGAGAGGTCAGACTAAGATAGGTACCCTGGTCCTCCAGGTTGGGGGTTGATCGCAAGGCTAAGAACCTCGCACCGTAAAAAGGAAGATGTTTCAAAACCTCAATCAAAGCCTCGGACAGACGGACCTAACAGAGGACCGAATGGAAGAGGAGAATTGAGGAGGCCATGGACTGAATATGGACCGGAGAGCCATAGAAGAAGAAGAAGAAGACAGAACTATAGTCACGGACCTTAAGAATCACTGTTGCCAGCCTGCAATCAATGTGCCAGAATTGTAAAAGTCAATATCCAACAAGCAACAGGATAGTAGACTTCTACCAAACCCTAATCTCACAATGGATTTAAAAATAAATATTTTGGACTATATTACTAATTTTCACGCATTGATCCTTTAATAAGAACTTCATGAAGAATGACATGTAATGTGCTTTAATCCTTTGACACAAGCCTCAGTATGTCATACTGACACCCTTGCCGGCCACATGCTGCTGACATTAGTAAGACAAATCATCTATGCAGGGTCTCACTAAACACATTCTCACTCGCAACTCACTGCTGTTATTCAGAACATAATGACACAACTTGGTAGATAAAGCATTGCTCTTGGTCCTAGAAATGTGTACGCCTATTTCAAGAATTATTTATTTGCTTTATTAATATATTATAAGTAATGGAGTGAAGAAAATTTACTAGCTTCTTTCCCCTCAAAGTCTGTTGCCTGTAAATTTTTGATCACTTCTGTTTGGTATATGAATGTATGCCTGTGCTTGACTGTAAACCGAGATTTTGTACTTCTAAGTTCTTCATTCCACCACCAGGAGCAATAGTTTTTTAGTCTTTTGCGTGTTATATATTTTGTGCTGCCGTTTCTGTGTTTTTCACAGTATGATTATGAGATATAATATTCTTCTACCCAGACAGACATTCTGGACTGTGAAATTCCACATCTGCTTCATTTTAGAACAGTCTGCGTGTGTGTGCGTGCGCAAGGGACTGGAGGAGGGTGGGGCAGAAAGCAGTATTACGATTGAAATTACAACAGGCCATTGCAAAGAAGTATAGATGTCACTGGTTACAAAACCATAACCTTACCTGTCTCAATGAAAAATATCTGTATGATCTTGCCTTGCTTGGTTTTAATTTCAAACTTACAAATTACAATCCTACATAACTTACTGCAGCTAGAGTGTCCTTGACGATGTTGCTCACAGTATTCTTAACATGATGAAGTGGTGATGATGTGATCATTGGCTCCATGTCATCCAAGCTGCCTTTCCGTGGGCGTCGTGTTGGCTTCTTAATGCGGCATCCAGCTATTCCTCCACTGAAGTGAAGGACATTCTCTCGACAGGTCTGAATAAGAAGAAAGAAAGTCAGCCCCTGAAGGAATATTACTTATTCATGATGTATCATTCACATAAAGTCCCTTTGCATACCCTCATTTAATACTCGATTTGGAAGGTCAAGACCAATTACCTGTGTGAAATATCCTCTGTTAAGTGATCCTCATATCAATGCTCCAATTCTTATATCAAAACTTCAGTCTATTACATACCAACTACAATGGAGACCCAACCACTCGGACACACTATGCACCAGATGCTAAGATCATGGTCACATTGGGAGTGGAGAAGACTTCATCATATGTGATTACTCATGCTAAGAAGTCAGTCAAAATTATACCACCGTGTATTGTTCAGTATGATCATACTGCTATTACCTCTGGCCAAGTCCATATGACGAAGCCAAGAAAGAACAAAATACTGTGATTCATGATTTTTAGTTTACAAGTAGATATCTATAAAGTAAACGGTTTTCCAAAGTTTCAGTTTTCTATTGTGACTAAATCCCTTGATATTAATTAATGAAATAGGGCAGTTTTTAGGATGCAGCAACCTTTTTTTTTACAAATATGCAAATATCTCCATCAGTTAAAAAGCCAGAAATAAAAAATTTGGTGTAATGGTAATATCCGTGTATTTGAATGTAAAATATTACGGAAAATATATGGTCCAATGCAGAATAGTGATGGCTCCTGGAGAATTAGGATGAATCATGAACTAGATTGTATCATACAGGGAGCAGATATCGTGAGGCTAATCAAAAGCAAAACGTTAGCCCGGCTTGGCCATGTTGCAAGAATGCAAGGAAACAGGGTAACTAGATGAGTGATGGAATGGAGACCGATGGGAAGAAGGATGAGAGGCAGACCACGGAAATGATGGACAGATGACGTGGAGGAGGATGTGAGGACGATGGGAATGAGGGGATGGAGAAGAATTGTAAAAGACAGGACAGAATGGAAAAAACTCGTCAAACAGGCCAGGAGACCCACATAGGGTTATAACGCTACAAGAAGAAGAAGGGTAATATTCGTGTAAAAAAACATACTTGGGGAAAGACCTTTACTTCATGGATATATACTTGTAAAACAAAAATCACAAACATGAATGGCATGTTTGACAATTACATTTAGTTTGTTTTGGTTTATAATGACCCAGTAACAAGTGTTCAGACACTGTAACATGCTGTGAAATGATCTGAGGCCAACTGACATATTAAGAGTATATAAAATATGTACTGGTTTCAGAATAAAAAGCAAACTGCACAAGTACAGCTTATATAAACAGACCTCCATTCAAAATTCACAGAAATGAACATCAAGAAGAGTTACCTCTTTCAGCAGGTTGCCAGAGCGCCGTCTCCATCGTGAAACACGGCCACAACGTGACAGTCTACCAGCCCCTTGGGAGGCAATACGGGGTGAGGCCAAGGCAGCGATCTGTTTCTTTATGCCGCCGCGGGATGCAACGGCCACCACTCGGCTGCCCAGACGCTGACAGCGTCGTTCACGCTGTTCACTACGTAGCCACATGATGGAGAAGCACTACCGGCTAAATGCTGATGATTCCATTAGCGTCTGTCATTGAATGACTCTGAGGAAGGACCTTGTCTCCTGAATGGCAAGTCACTAACACTCTCCAGGTTGGCACATTACATTCACTCTCCATTAATGATGAGGATCACGCTGCAGACTGTCTCCAACATGTGCACTGTTCAGTGCCAACATCGGAAGCCTGAAAACACCAAACGTGCCACTTGTGAAAGTGTCCAAAACACAATTAGCTTCAGTCCCTACATGTGCTACACCCATCACTGACTTATATATGTATATTTGTACTTCTCAAGGCAATTCAAGCAGTTAAAAAGGTTACATACCATTCACAAACATTGAAATATAATTAACCTCCTTATTTACACATAGTTTTACATTATTGTACATTAGCCTAGTTCATCTACATATATATATCACTTTTTAG